TGGAGCGAATTCTGCGTACGCTTATCGTCGATGGAAAACAGAAGGCTCGTAGATTGTCTGCGTTTGCAAAACATGCTGCGGATTCGATCAGCATGATAGCCTCTCACATCTATTCACACATCTTAGCGTATGCCACGATACTTGGCGCTGATAACGTAATCTAAAATTAAATCGGGGAATCACAATGGTTCGTTTGGGAATGGAGGATTGATGAATGCGAATTTCAAAGTGCTATTTCTGAAGGAGCCACGTCTAGACTAAGACGACGCACTTCGATGTATCGTAGAAATTATTGCCATTAATTGTCGCTAAGTTCTTTCGCATTCACGAAGAAATACACAATATAAAATTGAATTTCAAACCCGGGGATGTGGCTTTCACTCGCATACTAAATCCGTATAGCGAGGATGCTTCGTGTACTGTGAAATTTCTGATCGATTAGCATCTCATCGAGTCCCGGTTGGTTTTTTTGTGATCGAGTTCGAAGCGACGAGGGCCAGCAGAAAACTGGCTTTCCGAATTCCGAAAAAAACAGGAAGGTATTTACCTTCTCCGAGACCTAACGCGTATCGAGTTGCCGACGTTAGCCAGAGTTGCAGCGCCGTCCCCCTTGACAAGCGAAAAATACCGCGGTTGCATTGTTACGGAACCCTAAAAGCGAACACGAAGACAGCGACGCCAGCTTAGCTCTCGAGCACGTACTCGCCGCGACCACTTTTCTTGGCCCCTCGAAATTAACGCCGACCACTCAGCCGTACCATTTAGTATGTCGGCTATGCGAATCCAACCGCTCTTTGGCCTCGTGCTTCCACCCCCTTCTCGCCCGATAATATCATCATTCCTCAGCATCCTTTTAATTCTCTATTCGTCGCGAAACACGGGAGGAAAACGCCTAGACGACTCTCTCCGACCAAGACAGCACGTATGCTGAAGAGCTACAGGGGAACTGACCCTAAGTGGAATCCAAATTTAGCGATCAAAATTTTAACAAATTTAAAAATCAACACAATGAACATTTTCTCGCGAAGATGATAGCACAGTCACCGCGGCAATTTTTGCAATTTATTTTCAAATTTATTTTCAAAAAGGAAGATCTTTTCCGGCGTGGAAAATGTCGTTCTCCTTTTCCTCGACCGAGATCACTAGCACGCGGAAGAAATTGCAATATTTCGTTGAGTAGGCGACGGGGTGCAATCGTCGTCGAACTTCTTGAATTTTGCGTTTGAATTTCCGGCAAGACCGCGTTGACAAGAAGTTTTGCCCGAAATATGCATGAAAGAAGTCTATTTTTGACGAGCGTGGAAGATGACGGGGCGCGTCGAGCGATGCAGAATTCTGGGAGATATTTTTGTGCTGTTTTTGGAGTTAAAAAAGAATCGACGTTGAGGTCGCGGAGCCAGGCTGCTTCTCGGAAGAAGCAAAATATTGGCAGCGATCTTTACATGTTTCTTTTGGCAACGAGTGATTGTATTTTTTGAAGAGTAGACTTTTGCTTTTTTAAATTTCTATACCGTAAATGTTTTTTAAAATATATCTCTGTGAATTTTGTTTCGGATAGTATGACGACGTCTCTGTTAATTTAATGTAGAATACTTTCTCGATGTGATGTAATTTTGGCCGCCTCGAAAGAGACGAGCTATCGAGTAAAATATTAACGTGCATGTTGGGGAAGGTAAACATCCGTGGAATTGGATTGCAATCATCCTTTCGGTTGCACGTCCCGGGAAAGTATATAGCTGCATCCTGCATCCTGTTTCTTGCAAAGCGAATGAGGTGTAGCGCTTCCATGTCTCTCTATATTTTAAATTCATATAAGATAACGGTGTTAAAATACATCCAAGCTAATATTGTTCCCCCGTGGACAAAACGAGGACGTATAGAGAGTGTGAGGTTAAGAAATTACGGTGCAGTCAATACGTTACGAGTTTTACCGTTACCATGATTCCCATGTGACTTACACACCGCGTGGTTTAAAAGTAGGATTCGACACGACGATTGAAATTGAAATTTCTACGTGTATCGCGTTTACAGCATCTAAAGCGATAACATTGAGAAAATATATAAATTATTATAAAAAGGCGAAGTCAATTCAAAGTAGAAATAACTTGAAACAATCGCTTAATATATAATAATATACATACGCATGAAATTTTGGGGAAAAATTTCTGGCCACAGATTATATTTTCGGTGAAGAATTTTTTTCTCGAAAATGGTTAAGATTTCGGAGGTATGTATATTCACCAAAAATGGTTGTAATTGGCCCTCGCAATCAAAAATAATTTTTTCAAAACGATTTGTAATTTTTTAATTTTGCCGAAAAATTTGTCTACTTCCTGAATTTTTTTCTCGAAAATGGTTAGGATTTTGAGGGTATGTATATTCACCAAAAATGCTTGTAATTGGCCCTCGAAAGTAAAAATAATTTTTTTAGAACGATTTGTAATTTTTTAATTTTGTCGAAAAATTTGTCCACTTACTGAATTTTTTTCTCGAAAATGGTTAGGAATTCGAGGGTATGTATATTCACCAAAAATGGTTGTAATTGGCCCTCGCAATCAAAAATAATTTTTTCAAAACGATTTGTAATTTTTTAATTTTGCCGAAAAATTTGTCTACTTCCTGAATTTTTTTCTCGAAAATGGTTAGGATTTTTAGGGTATGTATATTCACCAAAAATGCTTGTAATTGGCCCTCGAAAGTAAAAATAATTTTTTTAGAACGATTTGTAATTTTTTAATTTTGTCGAAAAATTTGTTCACTTACTGAATTTTTTTCTCGAAAATGGTTAGGAATTGGTGGGTATGTATATTCACAAAAAATGGTTGTAATTGGCCTTCGAAACCAAAAATAATTTTTTCAGAACGATTTGTAATTTTTTAAATTTGTCGAAAAATTTGTCCACTTACTGAATTTTTTTCTCGAAAATGGTTAGGATTTCGGGGGTATGTATACTCACCAAAAATGATTGTAATTGGCCCTCGCAATCAAAAATAATTTTTTTAGATCGATTTGAAATTTTTTTTTCGCCGAGAAAATTCTGAGTTATGATTTTTTTATGTACATATATTTAACTGGTTTTCCTCTTTTGATTTCTGTAGTAATAAAATATTAGCGGCCATAGTAATGTCCTCTTTTATTTTCTGCGAATAATTAATTTCAAGAACGTGGACAATAGTATGACACACTGTTTATAAAGATGTTCCATCGGTGTGTTTCGAATTATACTTGCTTATTTATAAGTAATTAGAGGAATGTCCATTGCTATGTCGTTTTCCTTGAAGATCCTCAATCGAGGTCGCGTTTCACCAGGTAGAACATTGGGGAACAAGGAGAATGGCTCGTGAATATCGATACGATGTTCATTGATTCGTTGAACATGATTTCTTGGTATTGTTACAATCGTTTGATACGTGTCGCGTTATGCGAATACTACAGCGCGTAGTGCGTGATTACATTCAACGTACGGTACACAAAATGCATACAAATCGGGTAATATTTAATATGTTCGAGCTACGATCTTGATACCGAAATTTATATTCTTTTCAATATTAATTTTTATTTATACTTAACATCGTAGTGCCTAATATTTTCACGTAAGTTTGTCTAAGAAAACTAAGGGTAAAATGTATTCTGCTCGTTTCCTAATTATGCAGGAAGACTTCCGTATGACCATGGTTTTACGAGTCTCTCAAGCTTCAACCTGCAATTTACTTACATTCTTCTACTACGGGCTGCAAATAATTTCTTACATTTAAGGATCTTCATTGCCACCAGTTGTGTCTACAACTTCCTAGAATTCAGAAAAGAATGCAATAAAGTACCACGCTTCTGTGAAGTTGATTTTTTCACCTAGAAATATCAAAGATACTTTCAGATCAACTCTGCAATTCTCTTTGGCACTAGTTGACACGAAATGACTTTCATTCTCTTATAAATACAAAGTACGTAATACATGTGTATAAATCCTTGAAGTACATGTATAAAAATAAGCTTGTAAAAAGTAAAATGCAAAGTGCATAAAACACGTGCAGAATATGAACGTAAAGAGCACGAGGAAAGTAGGCCAAACAGAAACTTTAGATCACAAGCATTTGTGGATCCTTACTCGTTGGATCTTCCAAATTTATGAACAGTTTTTCAGTTTTTATGTCACTACTCTTTTTTTTTTAGCAGAAGTTTTTTTTTTAGAGAAGTTTGTCTACCCTGTTCTATTTGTAAGTGAAAAATAGATCGTTCGTAATTATGTAGTCAAACAGAACAGCAGGGTTAAGACAATTAATTATCTCGGATTTTATCTTTCGGCAACGAGGATGTTTCCATATGCAACGCGTTAATGGAGGACACGTCCAGTATGATGAAACGTTGTTTTGTGAACTTCAATTACGGCATTTCGCTTAATTGACTGCTGAATTAATGTACATTATACCGTAATCCTCAGAGTTATAATATAATGCACACTGTAACGGTCCAAATTGAACAAAACCAATTTTGAACAGTAACTATAAATATGTCGAAATTAATACTACCTATATGTCAGGATAAACGAGCATCTTCATGTATGCACGAGACTCAATCGATGGCTCAGTCTCCAGCCAAGGTACTTGCGTTACCAATTTTACGATCTCGTTTTCTTTCTGGTAGGAGGTTGAGAAATGTGGTCCAATAATGTTCGCAATGTAAATCCTTTCCTCTTATTTTCGAAGCAAAAATATACACGCTGCGCTTTTACGTACTCTTGCGAGGCTTCTTCCAACGTTACGTATAATTATGCACTTCGTAAATTTTCAGATCCATCATTCTTTTCGGCAGTAATTCCGTGAACTGATCGTTCCACTTCAAACCTTTCATTTTTCAAATAAATTAGTTCGTTACCGTCGACACGAGTAAATGAAGAGAATGAAGAATAATGATATCACGAGAACATTACTTATCGCGTCGCAGTATCAAAGTTGGTATTTAACAAGTTTCACTAATCGATTTTAAATTTCTTTTCTGCGCAGATGACACTGACATAGCTCGCCGAGGATGACGTCCATCATGGGGTTACAGCAGCCAGCTGCATCCCAGGATACCGTGGATTACAGTGGATACCTGCAATCGTCGCAGTGCCATCAGATACATGGAAACCAGGCGAACGGTCAGGTCCACTCTGGGCAGAAATCGTCGTCCAATGACCATAATACAAGCTTTACCAGCACCAAGGGATTGCTCAATGGACCTGGTCAAAACAACTGTTTCCTCAACAGTGCCGTACAGGTAGAATAAATATCTTTTCGTCGACAGGTATACGAACGAAACGAAGATCTATACAGTTTATTTTTCTGTCAGACAGAAAATGTATAAGCTGTTTAAAAATCCAATAGAAGCTCTAACGCGTTGTCTTCGCATAAACGTTAAATGGACAGTATAAAAAAAAAGTCTTAGAGCCACGCCAAAAATAAATTTCACGATATTAGCTTAGCAATCAACGAGTTAATCGTGAAGTCACGGTTATAAATAAATCCGAGCAGCAGTGCATTTTATTTGAAAACGTGCACAACGCAGGAATTTATAATGCACGTTTCTTCCGCCTTCGTTCCATAAACCGGATTCATTCATATTTTCAAGCACATAGGCGGCTCTAATCGACCGTTATATCAGTGCAGCATCTGATCTCCGACGAGGCTGACTTCCCCAGCGCTGTAAAGAGTATTCGAGACACGCGATAAACACGAACTATCGTTTACGTAAAAATCGTTATCGATCGTCAGGGATCATCGAGTTAATCCGATACTCTCGATGATCGAGATTCGATCGCCGGGAGTCAACATCGTTTACATTGAATACGCCCGGCGCGTTGCACGGGACGGTTTGCGTCGCACGAAAAAGGTTGCACGCTTCATTAATGGGAATAATTCTCGGCTGCATCATGGAAAGGAGTCTTCCCACGGACCGTTAGAATTTATTACGTCGATCAGAACTGTTTTTCCCAGCTTTTGTGCGCCGCGCTGTCCGATACGTAGCGGTAATTGTAACATCCGGAGGAAGCAATTACACTCGATCGGGCTCGATTAGAACAATCGATCAGAATCGCATAGGAAACTCCGGTAGCCGGGCAGGAGGATCGCCGATATCGAGCTTTAGATTCTCGTTTCGAGGGAATTGCGAAACGTTAATCGTACCGGGTTGAGTCTGGGATAGAAAACAGACAGCACTCGAGTAATTCGAGCAACGACACTAGCCGGTCCGACGTCAAACGCCGTATGTGAAACACGATAAACCTCTAGATTCCAGCTTTATACTTCCTATATGAAACTCGGTACAGAAAACGTTCGAAATGTTCCATGTCAAATGGCGACACCCATTCGGTTTATGAATCTCCCGTTATTCACCGATTATAGACCCAAATAGAGAAACGTCCTTACGTGTATTGGTACTTGGAGGTAAGATATTGGGTCGTTCAGGGCGTTTCAGATATATATTTGAATACTTAAGGAGCCGAATGTGTCCTACATACCTTACTTTTGCGAGTAACCAGCCTGGTTTAGAAAACAGACGGCGTTCCCGAGTAATTCGAGCAACGACACATGCCAGTTCAACGGCGAACGCGTGTCTAAAATGCGAAAAACCCTAAATTCCATTCCTCCTTGCAATCGAAACCTAATATCTTCATTTATTCACGGGAAATGTTACAGTATCGACGAAGGACGCGTTGCACAAACATTACCCAACGAGAAAATAGTTTCACTTACTTTCTAAGTGAAATATTCAATTGAAATATTGGACTATATTAACAAGCATATATTCTACTTGTTGAAGACTAAATCTTTCCTTTCCTTGCATGTTTATCGACCAGTCCGATATTTTTGACGGGGCCACTGTTTGTTTCTTCGAAGCCTATTTACGGCTCCAATATCCCTGTTGCATTTCTCGAGTTGCATGCCTGGTTGAAGGTCAACGGGCGCCTTCCTATAGGCAACCGGATAGTCAGGCGTGCACTTTAGCCTTTTCGAAACGCTCCGTCGTTCTTACAAGAAACTAGGAATTAACACGTCAAAGACTAGAATTATTCAGTTTAATAAGAGTTACGTTAGAATAATTCCACCTTCGATTTAAAAAAAAGGAGGCCTCTTTAATAATAATTTTCTCGCTCTAATTTACAAACAAAAAAATTGGATATTTGGATATTTCAGCGACTGGAATTTTATGAGAATATGACTTTTCGATTCGTAGGTGAGAGGAGAGAAAATAGGAGCGTGCATAATCCGGGACACCAATCCGAATCTCGCGCGTCTTTAAATCTCTTTAACGCGAATTCGTGACTTTTTCTCGGAGCAGCTTTACGAGCACGCTCCGAGATCCACGTCCATAGTTTATGGCCGCGAGTGGCCACCAAATCTGTAAGGCACCTAACTTCGAAAGCCTTCGAGGTGGACGTAAATATTCATGGCCGCTAAGTGACAGGACACGTGGAGAATCTTCTTAAGACGCCATCTCCGTCGTTCTTTCTTCCGTCGTGGACTTTCTCGTTTTCGTTTTTTCCCCTTCGGCGTTCGTATCGTTCTCCATCTTTTTCCTGCTGCCGTTCGAGCCTCTCTAATAGCCAGTTTCAAAATATAAATGGTAGTCACGAGGTTTCCTCGATTATGATTTCATTTCCCTGAAGTCGAGCGAAAGGTCAGACTTGTATTTCCTCATTGGCGTTGCGACATCTCGTTTTGACGAATAAATAACACAACAAATTAATAGATGCTAATATTATTTTCGAGGTTGAAAGCGTCAAGTCGTATCTCTTGTTCAATCACGAAAACGCTATAATACTAAATTACACTATAGTTGCTACAGAGATTGTAAACTTCTGATCGTTGCGTAGAGTAACGAAATTTCTCGCGATTTTGTTGAAAAGTCGACAGCAGACGATGATTCTTTGGAATTGCAAGGGCGCCTTGTTGCGTCGTGTGTTTTGTGACGTTCACTTTTAATTCGTAACACGGGACAAAGCAGTTACCACACCCTGGCTGCGTGCACGGTTTACGCTTAAAACGCTTGTATGTATCACGTGTCACGTAAGTCGAGGTATTGAGTACGCGTGCTTCATGCTGATCGAATAACTATCGATAGTTAATGGTACGTTTGTTTTAATAGATTAGAATCCCTCTTTCTTCATAATGTATTCCCATTTGCTCGGCGCTGATCGCCGCGTCTTGAAAATTAATCTCTTTTTATCCGAGTCTTTCTCAACGGCGTTCCTTCGCCCTGATCGATAGCCTCTTACTCGATGTAAATGCGACGAACCCAAACTACCGTATCAACGAAATGTAAATTACCGCTTTAGGTGGTGTGAAAAACAAGTCTCTTTTTTTAACGAGTCGTGGTTGTCAGACAGTACCATTAAATTCTGTCAAACGACACCTGTACTATGAAACTCTAACGCAAAACTTGTTGGTCCAACTTACGTGAAATTTAGAAAAATCCTTTATTTCTCTAAAAAATCGTACGATACAAATCTTAAACGCTCGTCGATGTTTAATGGGAGAATGTGCTAGTTATTAATATTTCCAATTTAGTTCGCCAGCGGATGGTGAAATTAAACAATCGCGGTCTGTATCTGTCGGGGCAGCGTCCGATAAATGGTAATTTTTATCGATGCGATTTTATCGGCCCATAAATTAGCTGGACGGATTAATGAAACCCAGGAGTGTATCCCCGGAGGGTCCGTTCGGGAACTGTTTCATTAGTCTGACCCAGCTAACGAATAAATTAATGATATAAAACTCGTTTCGGCCAGCTATAATGGCACCTCGAGACTAACGGTGTGCCGAGCACTTTCGTCGCCGATTCCGATAAATGTTGGACGTTCTCGTTATCGTCGAACGGAGACCACTGTTCGTAAATAACAGTTTGTACGGTGACATTTCCCAGTAAATATTTATATTCTTCTTCATCGGGGGCGATATTGAAACGAGAAGTTTGATTGCGATTCCGTTTAGCGCGCGGGAACATTTTATTTATAGAACTCGAAGGCGCGTTTGGGATAAAATAACGCGTGCAGCTTGCGAAACAAACAAGGGAGGAGCGCAAATGAGATTTATTTTTAATTCATTTGGGTTGCATTACTAACGAATGGAATTAGTAACCAGATTCTAGTTCATCCTTCTGTTCGTTTAAAATATATGTTAAAGTTTCGATCCTCTATGGTGCCTTCTTCATCATTGACTTTGAATTGTCAAGAAAAATGTTCATTAATTAATTTTCAGTTATATCGTGGCGTAACAACTTCATTTCAAAGCACCAGTTTTATCGATAAAGCGAACCAAATAAGGAGCTCGATCTGTGACCCACTTTTTGAATAATTGCAATCGACAGGACCTCTGAATTGTTTTTAATTGTTTCTCCTTCGTTCCCATTCTGCAGAATTTTTCGTTAATTGGAGACACTTTCTGCTTTACGATTCGACTCTCGTCGAGAGCAACAGCCCCCGCATTTCGCAAGGAATTTAGAGAAACGTGACGAAAAGGAAGGTGAAAATCTGTAGATAATTAAAATCGACCTAGGTTCTCGCTAACAATCTTATATAATAACAGGATACTTCGATAAAATTAAAAAACATTCAAACTTTGCGCGTACGTTTTGTAAATCCAGTAAAAAGAGGGGAAAAAAACGCACTGTATCGCTTTATCTCGGGTCTAAAGCGCTATCTGGCGACTTGTACCGGTTAATGGATCTAGGTTTTATACTGTCTGAAGACTTGAAGAACCGTGATGCACGTATTTGCCTGTGCGTCGAGATAACGTTTCGTCGACAAGGCTGAAAGCAAAAGCTCGAAGAGACTTGTAGACAAAGATTGGGTAACGCGTTACTTTACCTTAATCTCCGTACGTGTACTTACCGTAGTTTTTCGAGACACGCGAGAACTGAAAAGAGCTGCACAAGCATATGAGATATCCTCTCGCCAAAGCGTCGTAATCTGTAACGGTCGTGTGTAATTTTACGTTTCTGAAATGCTAGGAGATTAGAAGAAGCAGACCTATAAAAAATTCAGCTAATTTTCGTTCGCGTCGTAATTCACTTTCAGGGGGTGAAATCAACCCTTAAAGAAAATGCAGAATCTTCTGATGGAAAAAGAAATATACTTTGACATTTTTAAGTAATTCGCGAACAAATAGGTTTGCTGTGTCTAAGCGTTGGAATACTTTTGTTGGCCACTGTACGTTGGGCGCGATCGGCGAGTCTGAGGTGCAAAACCGAAGTGGTCGTGTAAGTTGAACAAAACACAG